GCGGCGGAGGCGGAGCGCGCGGGGCGCGGGCTACCCGCTCCTGCCGCTGCCGGGCGCCGCGCGCTCCATCGTGGCGCCGGCGCGGAGCCTCTGCCTGCGCGCCCCTCGCCGGCTCGGCCGCTGCCGCGCAGCAGGGGCGCGACGGAGGGGCGCGGGCGCTGCCCGAGCGGCGTGGGAAGGGGCGCACCGCGCGCGCCTCACCGCCGCCTCCCCATTGTTTTCCCCGCCCCCGCGCGCTCCGCCTCCGCCGCCTGCGCGCCCGCGGACACGCCCACGGGGCGCGCGCCCGAGGAGCCGAGCCGAGCCGGGCCGAACCGGGCCGAGCCGCGAGAGGTTCGTCCTGCTAATTCCGAGCCGAGCCGGTAGAGGGTTCGCTGATGGCGGCGGCGGCGGCGCTTTCCGGGGTGGGGGCGCCCCAAGCTCCGCGGGCGCTGCAGCGAAGACGCCCGTCGAAGGCGAGGCGGGCGCGCGCACCCCCCGCCGCAGCCGCGCGGCTCTCGGAGCGGGCCCTGGCCGGGGCCGCGGAAGGAGCGGGGGCGCCTCGCCCCCTCCCGCCACCTGCGCGGCTGCCCCCGCCCCCCCCCGCTCCGATGAAGTGGCGCCCCGTCGGAGGGCCGCTCCCCCTCTTTGCCGCGGGCGCGTGCTCTGGACCAACTTTGCCCAATTCGACGCCCTCCGGATGGGTTGGCAGGGCGCTCCCGCAACCCCTCCGCCTGGGAGGCCGACACTGCTGGACTTTCGCCGAACTTTGGGCTGCTGCAGGACACACCGTCCTGAGTCTGAGCCCACACTTGCTGCTGGGTTGAAACTCTGGGTAATTTCTCCTCCAACAATCCAGTTTCTGGTCTGGAGGTTGCATCAAGCAAGCCAGGAATAGGACATTCCTGGTTTGAGAAACTGGATGTAAAATGGACATAGACAGGTGTGGAAGCAGCCTATTCAAGCACAGGTTCACTCCCTCCACCATTCGTGGGTTAAACAACCTATGAACTGCTGGGATGCACAAATCAGGTCACAGAATTGACAGTGCCATGGAACTTGGAAAAGCTGGTAAAAGCTAAAGCCGGTGCACCTAGCGCAATATTGTCTATTGGTATGTTGGGGCGTGACCTGATAGCAATGCCCCAGCATATCAGGTAAGGTCTTTCCCAGACCTGTGTGAAGATGCTGGGGTCCAAAGCTGCAACCTTGTGCTTGCAAAAGGTCCATTCTCTGTAAAGGACAATCAAATTTGCACCAGTTCCAGACACTCTTCAAGGATGGCCCTAGCTAAAGCGTGTCGCCAAGCATGGATGTTTGTTGCCAAAGCAGAAGGCTGGTGTTTACATACTGAAGATAGTTACACTCACTACTACTATCTAAAAATCCAGAAACAGTGGATTCAGGAGCACCTTCAAGCAGTAGATGTGGATCTGTCAAGGGGAATCATAGGATAGTAGAGTTGGAAGGGGCCAAGAAGGCCATCGGGTTTAACCCCCCTGCTGTGGCAGGTCACCAATTTACACCATCCCACTCAGATGGCTGTCCACTTCCTTCTTGAATGTTTCTAGTGTGGGAGAGCTGCTCGCCACCTCTTTAGGCAGCTGGTTCCACTGCTGCACACTCCCTTTCAGAATAAGTTGAACCCCAATGCCTGGTCAGGCTTCCTACTAAGCAACAGCATCGCCATTCTGCCTGGATTTAACCTGACCTCCTTCACCCTCATCCAGCCCATTACTAAAGCCATGAATATTCAAGGGTATTGACTGCTTCCTTGGTAATAGGTAACAGGGAGCGATAGAACTGGAGGTCCATGACATATTGGTAGCACAAGGCAGGGTAGGCAGCAGATTGCCTGTGTTTCCCCACCCAGATGCCTGAGCAATCCCACTCTTTTTTAACTAACACTGCTTTTGTTTTTACTGGCAGCTGCAATTTCTTTAAAACAAACCTATGATTTGTACTCAGTGTTTTGACAGCTTCCTAGTCCTCTGTAACTAGCCAGATCACCCTCTACTGCCACCACATCTCATGGCTTACGAAGCAAAAGTAACAGTCACATATACCCAACCATGTACATGGGGACATGAAAGTCATGGAAAAGCCCACAGCTGTTCTGGGGTTGGAACAGGATCAGACAAGGAAGCCTCAGCATAGCTGTGGATACTGATTTGCGCATTGAAATAGGCACCTGTCACAGCTCCCGGTCTCGCCAGCGAAACACTGCACAAGTGCCGGGGCAAAAGGAGCAAAAGCTTTGCCATAAAATAGCTGCTGAAAGCCCCACTCATCCAGAATCCATACTGCCACTCTTGCTCCCCGTGTTCACTTAGTAATGCTGGGGCTCGCCTGCCTCTGGAGGCACCTTCTTGGAGATGCTCACGGTTTACCCTCCCGAAGGTCCTTCTCTTCGTGTTGCCCCAGATCTGATCAGGGATCCACGTTGCAAGTCTCGCTCCTGAGGCAAGGAACACAAAGGGATTAAAAACAACAGCCATATAATGTGAACAACATTTTCTTTTCTTAAGCAGAACAGCAGCATAGATGAAACTTCCAGTACCAGCCCAGTGAGAATTCATAAATGAAATGGGGAGGGGCTGGTGGCCAATTTTTCTGGGGGTCATGGGCAGCAGGAAGCAGAGGGAGCTGGCTAGCCAACTACCTTCAAGCAACAATAACAGACATTTTGTAAAAGCCGCATAATAATATTCCATGTGATGCTGTTTTGTCATGCTAAAGTTAAGAATTTGTCCTGTTCTCTAAAGGTACAGTCCTGTGCTTAGACAGAAAACAGTCCTACGGCCCCTAGTATTTCCTAGCCAGCTGAAATCATAGGACTTGTTTTCCATCTAAACTTGCACAGAATTGCTCGTTAAATGACTTTGAGTAGGCAGACCTCAGCACAAACCAATGTGTTGCTCTTACCAGGAAAAACTTTGAGATAAGTTTAAGAAACAGCGCACATGAGAGATTTTCCCATCTTCATGATTTTCCAGATGCGTGAAAAGTTATGCTAAGTTTCTCTGTGAGACTGAACAGTGGAGAGACAGGCAGAGATGTACGCAATAAAGCCTGAGAAAATGAAACACAAAAAGGAAATAGACAGTAACAACTAAATGCACTCGACATCATTATGGTCAAGTTACATTGCCTTAAATCAGGGTGAAGATCTTGTGATCCTCCACATATTTTGACCCACAACTCCCATCTGTCTTGGGCTGTACAGCTAATGGTGAGGAAGCTGAGAGTTGTAGGCAAGAGCACTGGGCAGGGTGCAGGTTGCCACGTTGTGGCTAAACCGATAAAGATCGGAGAGACAGAATAGGACAGGGATGGGGATGTTCTGGCTCTCCAACTGTTATACTGCAACTCCCGTCAACAACATCTGGAGGGTCACAAGTCCTCCTGTCTGTGGAATACCCTTTCAAACCCACAAACCCCCACGGGATACAGAAGGAAGAAAATAACAGAAACATTTAGGTTGCTGCAGACTGGTTCACACAAGCAGATACACACTTGATCATGTTTTATACAGCCTATTTATTTACTACGTATGATTAAATTTACTCCATGCCTTTTTTGATCCTGCAAGGAATCCAGGGTGGCTTCAGTGGTCCTCCTCTTCTCTGGATGATATCTCCTCGTTGAAGAGGAGCCAAGCATGAACCAGAAGCAGAACCAGAGGAGTTACCCAGAGCAGAACTCAGCATTATCATACCTCCAGGGAAGCTCGCAGAACCCAGGATCCTAGCATGCCCTGGTGATACTTATTCCCAAATTGTGCACCTGTGCCAGTTCACCAAGAATGGTGGAGATGCTGAAAGGCTGGTCCTGTGTATGCGGCACTCGGCAGGCAGCCTGTGGCATCCCGTCAGTCTTACTTGGAAGGAGGAACTATGGCTATAAGTATGGTCAGGATCAGGGCTTCAGGATGGGCCAGCCAGACTGACTGCATCAACTTTCAGTCACTGCCTGACATTTGCTGACACAGCCATCTCCGTAGACTTGCCGCCAAGCTAGCCTTCTTCTGGACAGCATCTCTCTTGCTCAGTTTTAGGTTTACTGACAGCTGACACTGCTGGACAGCTCCCTTGCCTGCCTGAGATGGCTGAAACTCTTATCAGACAGCAACTCCCATCAGCCTGCATCCAGCTTGAACAATGGTCAGGGTTGCTGGGCGGTTTGGTCCAGCAACATCAGGAGGGCCATAAGTCTCCCACCCCTAATCGAAGTTGCATCTTCCCAGTAAATAACCACATTGCTCCATGGATTGTGCCACTGTTCCTTTTTCGCTCAAGTCTGCGAGTGTAGAGTGTGGGTCTGGCACTGTAACTGCTGGTGGGTGGGGAGCAGTCTTGCCTGTGTTGAGACAGAAGAAGTCCAATTCCCAGCAATCATCCAGTGCAAACTGACCAGCCTGTCAGTGGTGAAGAATGAATGAGGACAGAGGTTGAACTGTGCGCACATGCCACGAATCCTATTCTTAGCATGAGAGATGCCTCCATGTAAAGATCGAAAACTATGCATTCCTGGCTGAAAAGTCAGACCACCACTTTAAATATTAGGAGGATGCAATCCTGTGTGTGTTTGGGCAGGAAAAAAAGTCTTACAATTCCCAGCATGCCCCAGCTGCTCCCTCAACAGGCTGCCACAGTGGATGAGCTCTCTTGTAGCCACCCAGCCAGCTGCTTTGTTGGCCGTGAAGATGGCACAAGGACCTGCGCAGGAACACGGGGAAGGATACGTTCCTTTAGGTGCCTGGCCCTAAATGACTGTGGGCTTTAACACCAACATTCTGAACTGGGCCCAGAAACAGACTGGAAGCAGCACGGACTTCACGCAGTTGCATTGGCCTCTCCCAGTTAGTAACCCAGCAGGTTTCTTCTGAATGAAGAAAAGTTTCTGAACCATCTTTAAAGGCAGCCCTTTTCAAGAGACATGCCAAGAAGGTAGCCTTCGTGCTAAAATCTTTGGATGATGACTTGGTTTTGTATGTCACATGGACATTTCTCTCAATGGACGCAGTTCATAAATATTAGCAATTACATAGCGTCCCCCACTTCCCCCACCCAAGCTTCAAATGCCCCCCAAAATGGGTAGATTACTCCCTCGCTGCAAGGGAGTTCAGAGACCCTGGTTAGGGATCCTGGTCTCTCCAGTGATGAAAGGACCATCTCGGTTTATTGTCAGGCTGAGACATCAAAGACGGGGAGCCAGCCATTTGGGTTTCCATGGCTGCAGAGAGATATTTATTTTGGTCTGTTCTGCAAGTCAGCATGGAGTCAACATATGCAAATGAGCCTGCCACTTGAACAGGAGGGGAAGATGAAAGCAATTAAAAGCTGCTGGGAAATTCCATAACCTCTTAGGTCTCTGGCGATCTTCAGGGAGCTTGTTCAAGGCCCTCTTCCATTATCTCAGCTGCTTTGCTACAGCTGTTGGGACTAATGCTCAGCCATGTGCCATCAAGCTGGATCAGCAAGGAACAGAATGGGGCTGTGGGGGGCATGCCAGACATCCACTGAAGCACTGAGGCGGTCTGGAGAAGAAAAGGCCACGTCCAGAGAGATTGCCTCCACCTCTGCCGCACTGAGACTGTAAGGGCTGATCTGAGGTTGCGAAAGGACAACTGGACAAATCATGGAATGACTTGTGACTTGGATGAATGAAAAGTGAGGACTTGCTTTGACTCACCTCTTCTGGGTTCACTGGGGAGCGGCCTTGATGCTGAGCCAAAGAAGAGCATTTTCAGCTGAGATCTGAGGTGTTGTTATGCGCCGTCAAGCCATCTCTGACCGATAGGAGGTCTGAGTTGCCAGTGAAATTCCTCTAGTGTGTGTGTATGACGGGGACATTTCATTAAAATATTCTCTGGAGGAAGGATCCACCAACAGATTTCGGATGGAAGGACTCGTTGTTTGCACCAGTGGCAACAGTTTCTTCCTTGCGTTTTGCAATTCGCTTTGCTGCTTCTGCAAGGGGCAGCCATGGTGAAAGCAAAGCTCCCACCCCACTGGCCTGACAGTGCTGCGTATCCCAGAATGCTCCACAGTGTCATTCCAGAGTATGGCAAGAAGAAACGGTGCCTGCAATGGCCTGCAATTTTCTTATTTCCTGTCCCTTGGACTGCACTGCAACTCCTCTTGCATGAGTCCTTGCACACTGAAAAGACCTCCAGCACCTCTTGTGCAAGAGCTGACAGAACTATGCAGAGACAAGCTTTCCTTCTGCTCGGGTTGCTTTGGATCCAAGCCATTGAATATTGCAAGTTAACATATCAGAAAGTTATTTCAGGACTCAGCGGGTGCTTTTGACATGTGATATTAAGCAAGTTGAGAAGGTACGTATGGGAACATGAATTCTCAGTGGTAGAGGTTAAGTTGTAAGACTTCCTTCCAAGGAAAACACATCCTTCATCAAGGTGGTTCCAACTACAGGTTAAGAGTGCAATCCCATGAAAGTTTAGGTAGAAAAAGGACCCACAGTTTTCAAGTCCACCTGTAATTCCCTCCCTAGCCTGCCTTAAGACAATGCTGAACATTAGACTAATGAAAAGCAATGGGATGAAAGTTGTTCATGACTATATGAAGGGCCAGGCATTTTGTGTCTTAACTTAGACAGGAATAACTGAAATCTCACCTCATTTAGGGGTTCTGCTCAGTGTGACTAATGCTGGATCCAGCCCAAAGAGTTGTTCACATGGTTTCGCCATCCCCTGTTCTGTTGGATGTTGCTCAGTTTTTGCAGCATTACCGCTCTTATTGGCTTGGACCAAGACTCAGTTCATCCCACTTTGGTCTCCTTGAAAACCAGTATCAAAAGTGACACTGTCTAACTCGAGTCTCATCACTCCTAAGGGCAACAAACCAAGTCCACAGTCTAACTGGATGCATTTTTTAGCTGCACTTGTTTTGGTCTTTTTTTAACATAGTCATTGAGGTGCCTTCCAGATCCTGATGGATGGATGAGCAAGGGACAAATGTTTTACATGCACAAACAAATAAAAAGGAGAACAATTCCTGCACTGCAAGGTGGAGCACAGCCGGAGTCGGATTTCCCTTTCTTTGGGCTTTGATTTTGCTGGCCATGTGCATTTGCAAGAGACCCACACGAGAGTTGCACTGCATTTTTCATAAGCTGCCAACCTGATTTCACGGGGGCTTGGAGGCATGTTCTCCCAGGAGTGTCTCCTGAGCATCCTGATGCTTGGGATGTGCTAATGTTTGCTTTGTATTTGTCCATTAGCAGATCTCTGGGCAATGACATCCATGCAGCCCTCCATCTGTCAAGCGTCTGTGA